CCCCCAGACCCCGCTCGGCCCCGCTGGCCCCCGGCGCGGCCCCCGGCCCAGCCTCCGGTCCCGATTTTCCCGGACATGTCCGGCTTTTTGGGATTTCCCCCCGGACGGGGATTTGGAGCCCAAAAAGCCGGACGTGTCCGGGAAAATCCGGACGTATGGTAACCCTAGGCAACAGCAGGGCGTGGGCGAGTGGGGGATGGGCATGTGGCAGAACCAGGATCATGAGGACCTGTGTGAGTCTCCAGCTTCAACCCCAGCAGCAAACTTTCCCAGCACGTTCCCCGCAGGGGGAGAAAGTGGGACAATGCATGGATGGCACGCTGGCACTGTGAGAAATGTGGCTGCTGTCCCACGGCCCACAGGGCCTTCCTCACCTTACAGCAGGGAGGACCCCTGGGCTAAGGGTGAGCCTCCATCAGCTGCAGTAAGATTGGGGCTTATCCCCCTGCAGCATGAGCTCTCCCTTGGGCACCAGGCTGGGCTCCCAGCAGGTCCCCACGGCCCCATGAAAATCATGAGAATTTTTTAAAAAGATTCTATTGTGTGTTTTAGGTCAGTCTCTTGCTGTTTGAAGCCCCCTGCCCGTTCGCAGGGCGTGTGCATGTGACAGTAGTGTTACCCAGTCTCCCAGTGTGCTGGGTATGGTGATTTTGGCCTCTGCCGCAGGAGCTCTCACCCCCACATCTGCCCCTCTCTTGCCCAGCAATTAATGCTGTCCCCCAGCCCCCCATCAGTTCTGCCTCCACCCAACCCCCCTCAGTTCAGTTCCCCAGCCCCCATCACCACCCCAACCCTATCTGCTGTCCCCCCTACCCTATCGACCCCCACCACCCTCAGTTCATCTTCCCAGCACTCACCCCATCTGCTCAGAACCCACCATCAGTACAGCCCTCACCTTCCTCACGTCAGTCCCCCTGGCCATAGTTCATCCCTCCCAGCCGCACCTCTGCTCCTCTTAGGGTTCTTCACCCTCTCCAGGCCTTGGGGGCTGCAGTGGGGTCCCTCTCCCACATCCCATGCTGGCCTTATTGGAAGAACTGTGAGGTGTGCCTGCCCACTTCTAAAGGCTCCTCCCCCAGCCTAGCGGGAGGGACCACTGGACCCAGGAACCAACTAATCTCTTGGGACAACTAATGAGCAAATAGGGAGTGGAGTGATGGTCAAAGGTTCAAAATAAGGGTGCCAGATGGATATAAGGGGCAGGCCTCGGGAATGGGGGTAAACCGCACCAGGTACACGCCCATGCTCACAGCTCCGTGAAGGAGCCGCCAACCGATGTCCCTGGCGGGCCGTGGGACCAAGGTGGAATAAAGGCTGGCCCACTGGGGCTGGCAGTGGAGCCGTGGAGTCCCACCACATCCCATGCTGGCAGTGGAGTCCTACCACCTGCAGGGCTGGCAGTGGGAGCCCCACCCCCCAGGGCTCACAGCGATTTCTAAGTAAAATTAAGCCTCACGCTTGACCTCGGCATAGAACTCCCAGATGGCAGGATTTTTTTTTTCAGCGGCAGCCACCATGGCCTTTCTGCTGATGTCCCCAGGTGCTGTAACCACATATGCCCTCTGTCCCATCCTCACGGCACTCCAGGCCCAGTTAGTTTAAAGGTGCCCAGCTGTTTTTCTGGTCCCATGCCCTCCTTCTCCCTCCATGGAGGCAGGGCCCTTGCAGCCCAGCTCAGTAGTGCAAGCAGGGGGCCTGGTCGGGGCAGGCCCTACAGGAAGAGCTGAGCTGGGGCAGGCAGCTGATTTCCCTAAGGGCTTGGTGTGACGAACTGGGCCTGTTCTCACTGTGGTCTGTGAATGCTGACAGGGGAGTGGGGCTGGGATAGTCTGCATTGGAGGATGGGATCTGCCCGAGGGCGCATACCTGAGTGTGTAACATGAGAACCCAGGAAGGGGTTGAAGGCCAGGTGACTCCTGAGCCCGGGAAACTGAACAAAGGCGGTGGGAGGGGTCGCTGAGGGGAGAGTGCTGGAAGCGAGCGGGAGAGATGGCTGGGAGACAGAGATGGCTCTGACCCCCCCGAAGGGGGGTGGGCTGGAATGCCCTGGGACCCCAAGCTGGACTTAACTGAGGGGGTCCTGTTGTCTGTGCCTGCAAGACCTGTCTCGGACTGTATTCCTGTCATCCAAATAAACCTTCTACTTTACTGGCTGGCTGAGAGTCATGGTGAATCGCAGGAAGCCGGGGGTGCAGGGCCCTAAGTCCCCCAATACTCCGTGACACTTGGCATCAAGCTGAGGGGGAGCCCAAGGGTCAGTGGAGCATGGGGAGTCAGAGAGGTGGGCAAAAGTCAAGGGAGGGGTCAGGCTGGAGGGAGTCGGGGGGAAGGGAAGTCAGGAGCCCCACATCTATCTGAACAGCAGCCATGGTTCCTGGCGCCAGCCCTGCCCATGTGCTGTGGGAAGAACCCCCAGCCCCAGGTGGGCCATGAGATCACGGGGACAGCGCCAGACCAGTGCCCAGCACCACCACAGCAAAGGCCAGAGAGACGCTGCCAGGAGGTCAAGCCCAGGCTGGGGGATGTGGAACGGGCTGAGTGGAGCACCGATTGCACAGCAATGGGCTGTGCTGGCCCTGGGGAGGCACAACTGGCTTGGAGACACTCCCAGAATATGGGCTTCTCAGCAGGGGGCAACAAGGAGGCTGAACCCCATGGCATGGCATGGCATAGCCCTTTGGCACAAGGCTGGGAGGGGCAGCCTGGGCACTGGGTACAAAGCAGAGCGGGATGCCAAGCAGTGGGTGTGGAACTGAGGGACAGTGAGAGGTGTGCAGCTCTTGGGGATTCTCCGGGCCTCTGCTTTCAGCTCCCCATGTAGCCATGTCCTCCGGTGCAGGCTGCCTGATGTAGTCCACAGTGCAGGCCCTGCCCTCTCAGGGGCTCCCCAAGCCCAGCTGCACCCTTCCTTGTGGAGCCCTGAGAAGAGCTGGTCTGGGCTCCTAGAACATAAAAACGGCCATACTGGTCCATCAAGTCCTGTTTCCTGTCTTCCAAAAGTGGCCAGTGCCAGGTGCTTCAAAAGGAATGAACAGAACAGAGCAATTCTTGAGTGATCCAGCCCCTGTCCTCCAGTGCCAGCTTCTGGCAGTCAGAGGCTAGGGACACCCAGAGCATGGGGTTGCATCCCTGGCCATCCTGACTAATAGCCATTGATGGATCACCATGAACGTATCTATTTCTGTCCTGAACTCAGTTATACTTTTGGCCTTCACAACATCCCCTGGCAACAAGTTCCACAGGTTCACTGTGTATTTTGTGAAGATGGACTTCCTTTTGTTTTAATTTAATTTGCTTCTTAATTTCATTGGGTGACCCCTGGTTCTTGTGTTCTGTGAAGGAGCAAATAACACTTCCTTATTCACTTTCTCCACCCGAATCATGATTTTATAGCCCTCTCTCATAGCCCCCTTGTTTAGTCATCTCTTTTCCAAGCTGAACAGTCCCAAGGCTTTTTAATCTCTCATACAGAAGCTGTTCCATACCCCTAATCACTTTGTTGCCCTTCTCTGTGCCTTTTCCATTTCTAATATATCTGTTGGGAGCTGGGGCAACCAGAACTGCATGGAGTATTTAAGGTGTGGTGTACTATGGATTCCAATAGTGGCATTATGATATTTACTGTCTTATCTATCCTTTTCTTTATGGTTTCTAACATTGTTAGCTTTTTTGACTGTAGCCTCACATTGAGTGAATGCAGGGCCGACTCCAGGGTTTTGGCCGCCACAGGCAGCCAAAAAACAAACAAACAAACAAAAAAAAGCTGTGATTGCGATCTGTGGCGGCAATTCGGCGGAAGGTCCTTCGCTCCGAGCGGGAGCGAGGGACCTGCCGCCCCTCTCCGGAGTGGCCGTCCCAAGCACCTGCTTGCCAAGCTGGTGCCTGGAGCCGGCCCTGGGTGGATATTTTCAGAGAACTATCCACAATGCCGCCAAGATCTCTTTCCTGAGTGGTAACAGCTAATTTAGACCCCATCATTTTGTATGTATATTGGGGATTATGTTTTCCAATGTGCATTAACTTTGCATTTATCAGCATTGAATTTCATCTGCCATTTTGTTGCCCAGTTACCCAGTTTTGTGAGATCCTTTTGTAACTCTTTGCAATCTGCTTTGAACTTAACTATCGAGTAA